TTACGTTATTTACTTGTTCGTTCTGAAGGGGAAAGGACGCGTCTACGATTGAACTCTCAGTGTTTTAGTGTTTTTAATCTCAAAATATAATTCTATTATTATCTTAATTCCGAGTCCATTTGCACCTTTATACTTTACACAGGTAAGTAAGTCATTTTACTGATTAAACAAACTAAGGCACAAATAACTATTTTTATTCCCCGCAATGAATTTACACGTGTGTTGTTTCTAGTAATCTATATTATTTTTGTTTTCCACTGACTTTTAAAATTACTCTATTATTAAGAATATAACGCTTGTTAATTGTTTTAGTAGGGGTATGATTGTTAGGTTAGACTGAGTCAGGTTAGGTTACATAAAATTACATACGTCGGTAATTATTTTAATGCTTAATACAATGTTAGACAACTGTGGCTAATATTTTTTATGTCAACTGTGCCACTAAATGGTGATTTACTGAAAACTGAAGTCAGAATTAAATATTTTTTATTTGGTTGTACTATGTCGAATCTAATTGGTGTATACTGAATAGTAAACGCGTTCGTTTCTTATCATCAACATAATCATGAAAATCGTGAATATCAAAATAGATTAAAAATATCCTCACGTAAACGTAAATTGTCTTTATGTAAATAGCAAACAAATTACGAGTTCTAGGGAGTCTTTTGGGTTATATGAAATTTTTAAATAGTCTTTTAAATATTACTTGTTCGCATAAAATCTCAAACCGACTAAATTTGCAAAGAATGCATTGCCCTTGTGTAAATAACGAACAAAAGTTTTAGGGAGCCTTTTCGGATATCAGAAATTTTGAAATAGTCTTTTTAAATATTACCTATTCACATAAAATCTGTGTCTCCATATATGTATATGTATTTAAATGGCACCTATTCCAAACCGCTTAAATTTGTAAATAACGCATTATTTTTATTTAAATAATGTACAACTAATGAATTTTAAGAGGCCTTTTATGAACACGGGAAATTTTTAGTTAGTTGTAGGTATAAATAGGAATCCGTCACTTATAAATGTTTAATCTATTGGTGTACGTCCNAGCATCACCTCGTTTTAAAATATTAGTAAACTTAAAATACCTATACATTAAGTAGACCTTTTAAAAATAATATGTAAATGATAATTAATTAATGAACATTACCTTAACAAAAATAGTAAAGAAATGGGACTCGTTTTATTCCATATCCACTGAATTAAATTATTGCTTTTAATCGTAATTAAACAGTGGTGATATTTACCATTTCCAATTTGTGGTATAGAAAATTCACAATTTAAGACATTTTGTGGTAAATATCTATTAACGTGTATTGCAACAGACCATAACACAAAATATCTCACTATTATTAATTATTATTAATTATATATGTTTAAAAGGTATGTAGAAAAATACTAATTTTTCAAACACCTTGATGGTATAATCGCTTCTATCACAGTAATATAACAATAGTAGCACAGCAACATTACACCTAATTACAACCATTCGATGCATCATAGGAAATTATAGAAAAAATCGTATGTCTATAATTTTTAATTATACCGAATATCTCAGCAAAATACTGTTTTACTAATAATTAGATTGAGACGTAAACATGCATACAATCAAAGGCAATATATAGCGTTCAAATTCTCTTGGTGAAGCAGATTTAATACTAAAATTCCTATAAAATCGTGTATAAGTTCTAAAGTAAGTAAGTGTTGATGAATACGTTACAATGCCTACTATTTGTTTGTAATTAGGTGTAATGTTGCTGTGCTACTATTGTTATATTACTGTGATAGAAGCGATTATACCATCAAGGTGTTTGAAAAATTAGTATTTTTCTACATACCTTTTAAACATATATAATTAATAATAATTAATAATAGTGAGATATTTTGTGTTATGGTCTGTTGCAATACACGTTAATAGATATTTACCACAAAATGTCTTAAATTGTGAATTTTCTATACCACAAATTGGAAATGGTAAATATCACCACTGTTTAATTACGATTAAAAGCAATAATTTAATTCAGTGGATATGGAATAAAACGAGTCCCATTTCTTTACTATTTTTGTTAAGGTAATGTTCATTAATTAATTATCATTTACATATTATTTTTAAAAGGTCTACTTAATGTATAGGTATTTTAAGTTTACTAATATTTTAAAACGAGGTGATGCTTAAATAATGTCTGTGAATAGTATAACAGAATAGGATTTTAAGGGCGACAATAAAATAAATGCTTATTATTTTATAGTAGGTTTACTATATTTTGTCATTAAGGAATCACTAAATTTTTCCAATGAAAGACTCCAATATTATTGGCTAGTGAAGTAAAATATTAACTTTTCTATTATAATATCCCCAAAATGTGGTTGTCGCCGCTACATGTAACAATTTTAGTTCATGTGTTTTTAGTGAAACTTGTATAAACTTGTTTCAAGTTACGTCTGGGTGGTCTTGTAGAATATGAGTAATCGCGAAAAGAGGAGTGCATTTTCGAAACTGCCATATGTTCGGAGGGTGGCCGTTGTTTTCTTTTCTGTTATACGTCACTAGTTTGAATTTACATCTTGTAGTTAATTAAGTGGGGGGAGGAGTGCACCACCGTTGAATTCCGAGATTGTGGTCTGGGAAAGTTAGTGTTACGTTATTTACTTGTTCGTTCTGAAGGGGAAAGGACGCGTCTACGATTGAACTCTCAGTGTTTTAGTGTTTTTAATCTCAAAATATAATTCTATTATTATCTTAATTCCGAGTCCATTTGCACCTTTATACTTTACACAGGTAAGTAAGTCATTTTACTGATTAAACAAACTAAGGCACAAATAACTATTTTTATTCCCCGCAATGAATTTACACGTGTGTTGTTTCTAGTAATCTATATTATTTTTGTTTTCCACTGAATTTTAAAATTACTCTATTATTAAGAATATAACGCTTGTTAATTGTTTTAATAGGGGTATGATACATCGATTGTTAGGTTAAACTAAGTCAGGTTAGGTTACATAAAATTACAAATGTCTGTAATTATTTTAATGCATAATACAATGTTAGACAACTGTGGCTAATATTTTTAAAGTCAACTGTACCACTAAATGGTGATTTACTGAAAACTGAAGTCAGAATTAAATATTTTTTTTATTTGGTTGTATTATGTCGTGTCTAATTGGTGTATGTATACTGAATAGTAAAAGCGTTCGTATCTTATCATCAACATAAGCATGAAAATCGTGAATATCAAAATAGATTAAAAATATCCTCACGTAAACCATCGAAGAAAGTATAGCTTTATTTCAAAAAATAATTACGAGATTCTCTTTTGAAATTATATACTCTCATATTTAAAAAGAGCAAACATTATTTACGAGCCTTTTTGAGGTGAAATACAAATGTATATAAAAATATGAAATAACTAACTACGTTTCATTGCAGCCCCAATGTAATAATAACTAACTACATCGATATGATTAATTTGTTACTTGAAAAATAGTACAAAAATGTATAGAGATCGTTAGTCGGCACTGTTAAATTCAATCAATATTGCAAAAGGGATATCCACCTACAAGATCAGTAAATCAATACAATTATAATTAATTACATCCAATATTGTTAGTCTTTCTTGTCCATTTTAACAAATTCCGCTGTATGAACAAATTACTTTATTGTTGTTAAATATAAACATGTACGAAAATTAATAGATTGTGCCTACGCTACTAAAGTCTATGGTTTTTAAATTAAAATCGTATTTGAAATAAAACTATATAAGAAACAAATTTTTCACTGTTATAATAAAATTTACATTTTATTTCTAGAGGCTATATCGTTTCTTTTCATGATATTATGTATTTGAGCCTTAATTTTGGTGTATTTAAATAGAGAATTATTTTAATTCCCCAAACTTGTACAAAAATAGATTATTAATAATAATAGATTTAAGTAAAAGACGGATACATTTTTGATTTTAGGATGCTTTTTACTGAACAGAGCAAGTTTACAATTAGTTAGTACAATTAAATATTATTTCTACATAAAATTTGAGTCTTCACATATATGCATTTAAATGGAAAACTATTTCAAACTGCCTATTTTTGTAAAAAATATATTGTCTTTATGTAAATAACGAACAAATTACGAGTTCTAGGGGACCTTTTTGGACGTGGAAGTTACGTCTTCTAAATATTATTTCTTCATTAAATTTGTGTCTGTATCAATATATTTAAATAGAAAACTGTTTCAAACCGCCTAAATATGTGAAGAATGCATCGTCTTTATGTAAATAACAAACAAATTACGAGTTCTAGGGAGTCTTTTGGGCTATATGAAATTTTTAAATAGTCATTGCCCTTGTGTAAATAACGAACATATTAAAAGTTTTAGGGAGCCTTTTCGGATATCCGAAATTTTGAAATAGTCTTTTAAATATTACTTATTCACATAAAATCTGTGTCTCCATATATGTACATATATTTAAATGGCACCTGTTCCAAACCACCTAAATTTGTAAATAACGCATTATTTTTATTTAAATAATGTACAACTAAGAGGCCTTTTATGAACACGGGAAATTTTTAGTTAGTTGTAGATACAAATAGGAATTCGTCACTTATAAATGTTTAATCTATTGGTGTACGTCCTATGTGCTATTACTAGTGTAACTGTATAAAATTTGAAAAATATTTTTTCTCCATTTAAGGAAAATATATTTTTATTAGCAATATTTGTCTTATTTACCGAAAGTTTCTGTTCTTAGAATTGCTACTACGGTCTTAAAACAGCATAATCTGGTACTAGAGGTAATTAACTTTATTTATGTTCATGTTTGTACTATTCGAGTCGTTATAATTTAAATTTATATTACTAATCAGCATCTTTATTTTCAGATTTCACCGATATCCGTATATCCAAAAGGTGATAAATAAGAGCGTTCTACAGTTAGTTGTATCAGTTTACAACAACGATTTGTAGACACAAGACGTTTTTGAGATCAACTGCTGAGAAAATGGAAAAAATTACTATTGTCAAAGATGTACTCAAGAAGGTGCGTCGCTTCAACTTGGTGGGCCGGACTTTAGAATTTAAAATTAAACCCGTAGCAGCTGGTAAAGAACCCGTAGGATGGATCAGGGATGCTATCAACCAGGTCATTGCTAGGGGTATAGATGGCCTCGATGTAAATGATCAGGTAGCGTTTTCCTTCTGCTCCAAGGATTTTCAACGCGGCGAAGGCTGGGTCCGTTTCAGACCTGTTGAACAGATCACCTATGACGACATATGGAACATAATAAGCAGTGTTTACCAATCAAACTCATCTGGGCTCAACACTGAAAATTTCTGTCTGGGGGTAACTAGCGTGAAAATGCCGGTCGGGCGCGGGAAAGATCGGGTCCGTAAATACAATACATTCGAAGAAGAATGTGCTTCCAGGAAAGGTATTGTAAAAATAGACAATAGAGACAATTTGTGCTTACCCCGCGCTCTAGTAGTCGCCAAGGCTCATGTTGACAAGGACGGTGAATACGTAAAAGTGCGTCGAAATATCGGAAAAATCCAGACACAAAGAGCTTTGGAACTTTGTCGAAACGCAAGTGTGTCGATTCCTGAAGAGGGGGCTGGTATACCGGAATTGCAAGAGCTTCAGAGATATCTTACCGGATACAGAATAGTAGTATACAATTATAGAAGTAAAGGACGAGAAGTGATTTTTAGCGGTTGTGGTAACGATGGACCGACACTTAATTTGCTCCACCACGAGGGTCACTACAATGTGATAACTTCTTTGACAGCCGCCTTTTGCTGTGGTTATTACTGCGAGAGCTGCAACATACCATATGATCACAAAAACAGTCACAGGTGTGGAGGTACATGTCCATGTTGTCAACAAACACCCACTTGTCCCCCAGCGCTAAAAGTGCTATGTGATTGCTGCAAAAGATCTTTCCGAGGTCAAGACTGTTATAAAAACCACAGAAAATCTGGATCGCTTGAGAAAGGTACGGTCTGTGAGCAAATTACATGTTGTGAGACATGCCTCAAAACCGTGAAAACGGGTAGAAAACATATTTGCGGTGAAATATTCTGTAAAACCTGTTCCGCGTACGTACCCCAAGACCACATGTGTTTCATTCAACTCGAAAAAGGAAGACCGAAAACCAAAGACCTTCTATTTATTTTTTATGATTTGGAGACAAGACAAGAAAAAGTGATTGATGACGGTTCTCTCCTCCACGAACCAAACCTATGTGTCTTTAAACAGTGTTGCGATATATGTATAGGCGACATCAATTTATACATGTGTCAGAAATGTGGGCTCAGGACGAATATATACAAAGAAAATATTATAAGTAATTTTATGAAACATGTGCTGACAGCAAGACAAAAATTCAAACAGGTCGTAATATTAGCCCACAATTCCCAATCTTTTGATGGTCAGTTCATCCTCAATTATATTTTGACAAAAACAGATCTTAAACCGGAATTAATTATGAGAGGAACCAAAATAATTTCGATGGAGCTAGATAATGTAAAATTTTTGGACTCTCTGAATTACCTACCAATGGCTCTTTCAAAATTACCAAAAGCTTTTGACTTGGGCCCTGAACTTAGAAAAGGCTATTTTCCACATTATTTTAATACAGAAGCAAATCAAAACTACATCGGCCTCTTACCTCCTCAGGAATATTATAGTCCTGATACAATGAAAACAGAAGATCGCGAAAAATTTCTGAAATGGTACGAAGAACATAAAAACGATGAATTTAATATGCAAAAAGAGATTGTGGAATACTGCGTATCTGACGTTGAGATACTGGCAAAGGCTTGTCTTAAATTTCGTCAACAGTTGATGGAAACTACAAACGTTTGCCCCTTCACCGAAGCTTGCACCATTGCCTCTACATGTAACAAGGTGTTTAGGAGAAACTTTCTCAAACCCAACACAATAGGAATTATTCCAAAAGGCGGATATCGCTGGAGAGATACCCAAAGTAAAATCGCTATTCAGTGGCTTGTTTGGGAAGAAAAGCAGAGAAACGCAGACATTCAACATGCTGCCAAACAACAGGAAGCCACTATACATGGCGTTAAAGTAGATGGTTTTTGTTCTCAAACAAAACAGGTATTTGAATTCCACGGTTGTTATTACCATGGATGTCCTAGCTGTTTCAAATGTAACAGAGGTGAACCATTGCAGGATAATCCTACAGAAACTATGGATTTGAGGCATGAGTCTACGTTATCCAAAACAGATAGGTTGAAAAACTTGGGGTATGAAGTTATTGAAATGTGGGAATGCCAGTTTATAAAAATTTTAAAAGAAAATAATGAACTACGAACCTATACCGAAGAACATCCATTTGTTACACTCACCCCTCTCAACCCTCGAGAGGCTTTTTATGGTGGAAGAACGGGTAACACTAGGACGTACTATAAATGTCAACAGGGCGAAAAAATTAAATATGTCGATGTGTGCTCTCTCTATCCCTATGTTTGTAAATACGGTAAATTTCCTGTGGGCCACCCTAAAGTCTATGTTGGTGATAACCTTGATCAACTAAGTTTAAAAAGAATTGATGGAGTAATCAAGTGTAAAATATTACCACCAAGAGATCTCTATCACCCCGTACTACCAACAAAAATGGACAATAAATTAATGTTTGTTCTGTGTCGTACATGTGGCGAACAATTGAATCAGGGAGAATGTACACACAATGTTGACGAAAGATCATTAAAGGGTGTGTGGATTATAGAAGAGGTGATGAAAGCTACCGAAAAAGGGTATGAAATATTAGAGGTATATGAAATTTGGAAATACGATATTCAGCAATATGACAAAACCACAAATATTTCGGGTCTGTTTACAGACATGATGAATACATTTATCAAAATTAAGCAACAGGCGTCAGGTTGGCCATCAAAGTGTGTTGCTCAGGAGCAAAAAGACCAATATATTGAGGATTTCTTTAATAATGAGGGTGTAAAGTTGGAGTTTGTTGAAATCGTGAATAACCCTGGTTTACGTTCTTTAGCCAAGCTAATACTTAACAGCTTTTGGGGGAAATTTGGACAAAGGGAAAACCAGCCCAAGACCAAAATTATCCGAGATCCTAGCGAACTGTTTGGCATGTTTGCAAATCCCGGAATATATGTCAATACGTTGCTCCCCATAAACGATGAAGCACTGGTTGTTAATTACGAACATTCGGAGGAAACTTACCAGCCCCTATCAACAGTAAATGTAGTGATAGCCGCGTATGTCACCGCACAAGCCAGATTAAAGTTATATGGTTACCTCGAACAATTGGGTGATAGGGTTTTGTACTACGACACAGATAGTGTTATATACGTGTCTAAGCCTGGAGAATTTGATGTGCCCATCGGTGAATTTGTTGGGGATTTGACAGATGAACTTGAATCGTATGGTTCCGGCAGCTATATTACAGAGTTTGTGTCTGGTGGACCTAAAAATTACGCTTTTAAAGTGTTTTCTACTCGTGATAATGAAGAAAAGGTGATCTGTAAAGTTAAAGGTATTTGCTTGAATTATGAGGCATCTCACCTAATAAATTTTGAGAGCATAAAAGATATGGTTCTCAATGATGCAGCCCCTGTATACATAGTGTCTAAAAACTTTCGTAGAACGAAAGATCATGAAGTGGTGACGAGAACAGAGACAAAAACATACAAACCTAATTCAACTAAAAGAATGTTCCTTGCCGATCACAATTCTATTCCGTATGGGTATAAGAAACAAAGAACTGCATCTTAAAATATACGTATCTTATTATGTTTTTGCAATAATCATAGGGTGATTAGTTTTAATAATTTGTGTAACGAATGTAAAACTCAAATTGTTAATATTACTTTATAAACTGAATAATTATGTTATTAATGTTAAAATATATGTACCTTAGATATTTTTACAATGGTAATAATAATAGTTATATTTGTTTTAATAATTTATGTATAGAATTTAAAATACCATTTGTTAACATTACTTCACAAAACTGAATAATTATGTTACAATACATATGTATATCTTTACTTTTATAATTAAAATAAATTATTTTAACAATTTTATGTGTAGTATTTAATAAATTGGTTCAAATTCATTTATGTTGTTATTGCTTTATATGAAATCTATAGTCCCATACAGGTTGAATACTTAAATATGTTACCTTAAAGATTGCAAAATGTGGTGATTTAACTCTGCTGTTCACCGACTTATTCTAATCTAATCGTATTAAAATATATTTCTTATGTATGCTCTTTTACAGATTTTTTCATTATGTTAATGTAATTTATGTAACCTGTAATTGAGTGTTGCTGACATATAATTTACAAAGAAGGTATCTTAATTGGGGCAATTCAGTGTTGTGCGGGTTTTTAATCCACATAACAGTTATTTTTCACAATATCACAAGTTAAATACTACATAATTGATGTGACTGCAGGATATATTCAACAAAATAAATAAAACCACTTAAACCTTTATGGGCTCCTTTATTAAATATCTTTAAAATTTAAATGTTATTTGATGCAATTCCAACAAAAAAAATATTTCACGAAAATATCTATGTTACACTTACCCCTAGGTAGTACATATAATGCTATCCTTTCGTAGTATCCTGAGCTTACAAAATAGCGGCATGCATTGAGTCAAATTTTAGACTTACGAAAGTTTGGTACGAATTTTTTTTTTTACTTCTCTCTCTCTCAAGGTCTTCTATTTTAATCTCTTTTACGTAAGTCATCCACATTGCTACTTAGCCGGTTTTATTTAAAAAGCTTAATCAGTCTCAGTACAGACTTGATTAAAGTATATTTAAATTAATTAAGTATTATGCACAACATTGCTTATTTTTAACTACACTAGCGTCCTTATCCACGAAGTAATAATAATAATTTACCCCAACGACTTATTTTTAGACCAGGCCAGTGACCAACTTGCGATATGTACGCTTCAAACTAATGCTTTGTATATGCTTCTGATATCAAACAATGTCCTGAAATTATTTGTTTAATACCTGTTTCTGTCAGTAAATTAACTAAACTGTCAGGTGTATTTAAGATTTATGCGGAAGTTATACTATGAAATTTAAAAGGAAATAAGATATCAGATAATAATTTTGTTGACTTAGCAATTTTAAAGGCAACAAGGTATCATCATATTATGATGTATGCTAATACTTTAATTTTAAAGGAAATAAGTTATGAGGTTACAACTCTGTTCCGCGCATGCGTTGAATTCAATTTTAATTGCAGCGTTGGTCTACACGTGACCTAAATCGAATGATGCAATACTAGCAGTTTATAATAATTATTCATAGATCTCAAATTGCAATTTTTGCCGACTTAGAGATTTTAAAGGGATTAAAATGTTAATTACAAGAAAGTCCTGCATCTGTATTTTATTTTTTATTGATCTTTAATTTTGAATTTCCCGTTAATCTGGCCTAGTCACTGCTACTACGCATGCGTTGAATTTTAGTTTATTATCCTTCTTTAATTTTAAATTTCCCCGATCATCCCCACCCGACCAATCCTTTCTCCGCAAACGTTTTTCATATTATTCAATTTTCAAATTATCGCCAATAATAAAACATATGTTATCAATATATTTTATTATTTTTTTTTGTTGATCTTAAATTATAATTTTCCACTAATCTGGGACCCCCCCCCATATATTCACCAATGACACACCTGTATAAATCCAATTAACACCTATGCGGCGCCAACCTTTGATCTATGCCGACAAAGGACCAAAGGACGCCGACAAAGGACCCCGACTTTCCCACGGTCCCCGAAATTTTCCCAGTCTAAACCGTCGCAATACCTACTNGTCCCCGAAATTTTCCCAGTCTAAACCGACGCTATACCTACTGACGTGATTAGTGTAAATCAATTTGATAGACTCCTTTTTCATTTTTAAATCATTACTTTTTTTTATCAATTGTTGTTTATATTAGAGTAATTGTTGTTTATTTTGTGTATACTGGTTTTTATGATTATTATTAATAATTATTAAACCAGTGTTTGTTATTTAATTTTGTTTCCCATTGGGTTCTATTCGGTTTTTATAAAAGAATAGGTTGACCGACAACGGCAAACACTGGTGATGCCCATATTGTCATAACTTTTTTAGGGACAAACTTTTTTTCACAAAAATTGGTACAAATGCATTTGAAGGGTTCCAAAATCCAGTGGTGTAGTCAGATTTTTTATAAAAAAATCGCTAACAAAATTTTGCCATTTTTCACTTATCAAAATTTCGTCTTCAAATTTTGCATCAAGATAGAACTTTTGGAAATCTATCTTTCAAAAAAAAACCGGTTCAAATCGGTCCATAAACAACTTTTGTACGCGACTGTTTCCATTCTTAATGAGTGACCCTGTATATAACATTTAGTTAGATAGTTAAATTGCTTATTTAGTTAGTACCTATTTATATTTCTTTTCGTTTTATACTAAGTATTTAATTTATTACTAACACTTCTTCGATTCTGTTCATTTGTAACAATTCCTTGTTCTATTTAAATTCTGTTAAAATCTACTTTTAATCATTAAATTTAGCATTTTTATATTGTTTGACGAACTTACTAACATATTTTGGAAAAAGTATACATTTCGCCTCCGGCCTGGACTAAATCCCTGACAACTTTTTAAGGAATTTGCGATTACTATGGTTTTTATCAATTTCTTCTTAATTACCATCAAATTAGCTCCGGACAAAGACATAACGAGCTTAACAATTTTTATTTTGTTACTCTTGGCGGATAAAAGAAAAATTATAAAATTTGTTATTTAGTCTCAAACTCACGGCCTATTAGAGTAATAAAGTGTAAAATTTGTAAAATTAAAGGGGTTTTGCTAGAAAAGTGCCAATATTTTCGACAATAGTTATTTTAGGCATAGAGTATTATTTACAAAAGTTGTAGGTAATTAACATATTAATATAAAAATAAAATAATATACCGGGTGTTTCATTTAAAAAAATCGAAAAAATGTCCTTCGAAATTCGCTTATGTGTATAAAGGCTAGTTTGTTGTCCACATCTTTGGTCACCATGCCTACAAAATAATTTTTCTTAACTACTGATAGTACCTGCACAGTGGAGAGATTTGTTTTTCATATGAAAATAAAGGCATATTATTATTATTATTATTACTTGTATCGATTAATTGTTTAGCTTAGTTTTTTTTCATGGCACAACTGTTGGAGACATTACCTCTCTGAAATACGATTATTATGCCGAGTTCACAGAACTTGGACTGTAGCGCGCTACACGTCCCCACCATCGATTTTTCAAATGTTGGGTGCCGATCAAAACTGTATAGTAGCTTAGTTCCATATATTATTAAGCCCTCCTAATGTATGGGCAACATTTATCTAATAGCTGAATAGTAGTTGAAATAGACCTAAAAACATCATTATTAATAATTTTTGGCGTCAACTGCAAACCAAAAAAAATACCAAGAATTAAAAAATAAACAGAAGGTAAATGAGAAATAGTAAATGAATATATTGGAATTGTAACTTTGTGGGTGATATACGATAAAACATTATCATTTATAGTATATGGACAAGGTCTATTTTTAAAACAGAAGCTAGAAGAAAATGTGGGGCTGGTCAAAATTTAATTGCTGCAATGCAATTGAATACAGTTAACAAATACGTAATTTTTTTTCGCATGGGACCAGAAGCCTTTGAGTACTTGTTATCTTAATAGGGCCTCATATTGCAAAAGTCGATGTCGATGTTAGANATTATTTACAGTACCCTCTCCCAGCGAAAATTATTTTATTTTTTCAAATAACTTGGCATCGCCGCATCGAATATAAAAAACAAAGACAACGCTGGAAAGAGAATTTTCTGTAGAATACAAATTTGTAAAAATATACGGAGTTTCCATTTAAAAAAAAACACCTTAAATATGCTCCGCCCTAATGCATCACCCTGTATAATTCAAAATATTTTTAAAATATGAACTTTTCTAAGTATATCACACCCATAAAATATTTCTTTTCAAATCTTTATAATAAGGGGCTACCCTGTATATGGACCTAACAAAGTTAAGACGAGTTGATTGCCGAGCCTTAGTCGAAGAGCCCTAAACCAAATGGAGGATTTCGATTGGAGAAAAAATAGTATGTTTTATTCGGATTAAAAGTGTCTGCCTCGCAAATACAAAATTTGCTCACCAAAAAAGTAACACTTTTAATCCTAATATAACAATATACTATTGTCTAATTATAATTTCTTTTTTTTTTTTCACCATACAGGTATTGTTTTGACTGTGTTCCCGTCGTTTATACTGGTTTCATACTTTTCCTTTGATGGTTCAAAATTGCCTGTTTTTGATACTTCTTTGAGGCTAGACTGAAGAGACAGTCTTGAGTTAATTGTGTAATGTATTTTAATAATTGTTGGTTCAGAGTTTTGTGCAATTTATATTGCGTTTTCGACTGCCTCTCAAATTCTAGATGCAGATATCAATCCATAAAAATAATATTTTTTTAGTTGGATTAACGTAAATATTTCCACAAGTCGTATTGTTGTGCTTCAATTGCTGTTTTACATCTTCTAAACATGCACCATTATTGTTAACATTTGCTTTAAAACTTCATTTTACATAACAAAAAATGTCAATGGATGCAGCAAAAGGCTTAATTTTTTATGGACAACTTTCTTTTGAAATTTTTATTTTTAACTCAAATTCAAACTGAATGTTAGTTTTTTGT